ACTGGGTTAAGCTGCAACCTGCAATGTCCCCATCCTACACGAGTGCTGGTTTGAGTTCCATCTATTCCACTTTCCTCCAGCTCCCTGCTAATGCACCTGGGGAAGCAGCAGCAGATGGGCCCTAACACCCACTTGGGAGACCTGGATGGAGTTCCAGGCTCCTGGCTTCAGCCTGGCCCAGCCCTAGTCATCTGTAGTCACTGGGGGAGTGAACCAGCAGATGGAAGACCTCTCTCTCTCTTTCTTTCTCTCTCTCTCTCTAACTCTGCCTTTCAAATAAACAAATGAATCTTGAAAAAAAAAGAGAAAGAAAGAAAGGAAGGCATTAAGAGAGATGAATTAGGCCGGCGCCGCGGCTCACTAGGCTAATCCTCCGCCTAGCGGCGCCGGCACACCGGGCTCTAGTCCCAGTCGGGGCGCCGGATTCTGTCCCGGTTGCCCCTCTTCCAGGCCAGCCCTCTGCTGTGGCCAGGGAGTGCAGTGGAGGATGGCCCAGGTGCTTGGGCCCTGCACCCCATGGGAGACCAGGAAAAGCACCTGGCTCCTGGCTCCTGCCATCGGATCAGCGCGGTGCGCCGGCCGCAGCGCGCCGGCCGCGGCGGCCATTGGAGGGTGAACCAACCGCAAAAGGAAGACCTTTCTCTCTGTCTCTCTCTCTCACTGTCCACTCTGCCTGTCAAAAAATAAAAAAAAATAAATAAAAAAAAAGACAGAGAGATGAATTAATGGCTTGTGAGTAACTTCATAATTCTAGTTCTGCACGCTGTGGGAGAGCTTCATGGATGGGTCAACTTTTCTCCCTCTTGGATGTGCCAAAAAGCACAAGCCTTGATTGGAAAATTAGCCTGGGGCGAAACACAAAACATCATGTAACAAGGGAAGCCTTTTGGCTGACAGATGTTAGAGAAATAACTCTTGCAGACTTTGCAATTTCTGTGTAACCCATGTTACACCAAACTCCAGTTCTGAAATACTTTACAGGATGGTGTGTGGGTCTCTGGTGACTGATTGCTGTGGTGTGTAGAACAAAAGCTGAGTCAGAACGCAGAGGGTGTCTGGGCACACAGGGCACTGGTTCCATCAGTTCTCATAAGACCACCAGAGGGTCACTGCCTTCATTTTCTCCTGCCCTCCTTTCCTTCCCAGGGCTTAGTGATGACAGAAAGACAGAATGCCCCACCCACCCACCCACACTTGATTTTCTTGTGCAGGACTGTGGGTCCTTTTTTTTTTGGTACAGTAGATTTTAGTTTGTCTCCACCTAAGCTATTGACACTTCTTTGCCCAAACTGCAGACTGCCTGGAGATAGCAAAATTGATTAAAATATTTTCATGCTTATTTCAATGTCAAATGAGACTGCTTACCTTTTCAGCACTAAGGATTTATCTCTTATAGCTGCCTGTTGTCTCTGTTCATTCTTGAGGCTTATTTTACATATAAAGTAATAACAAAAAGGAAAATAGTTGTTGCCCTAATATGTACTTGGTTTAAAAATATCATCTGGAAACTAGAAAGCTAATTTGTTTTGGCTCTGGTGGGGAGCTAACTTTCCAGTCAACACTGACTAGGTTCTATGGTAAAAGGTGAATTCAGAATTCAGCCCAGACAGCAAGTACTTACTGAGCACCTGCTGTTTTCCCAGCACTGTTTTAGTGTCTAGAGATAAATATGTACACAAAACACTCAAAGTTTAATTGCTTAAAAATTTATATGAGGATGGCGTTAGACATAGATATATGTGTTTATGATTTTTTAAAAAAATCATTTATTTTCATTTATTTGAAGGGGGAAAGGGGAAGGGAGAGAAAGAGAGAGAGAGAGAGAGAGAGAGAGAGAGAGAGAGAGAGAATCTCTCCCTACTTATGTTTCAGTCCCCAAATGCCTGAAATGGCTGGGGCCACACTAGGCAGAAACCGGATCCAATTACTTGAGCTATCACTTGCTACCTCCCATGTAATGCACTATTAGGAAGCTGGAGTAGGGAACAGAGGCAGGACTTGGACCCAGACACTCTGATATGGCATGCGGGCATCCCAAGCAGAGTCTTGATGGCCAAGCAAAAAACCCACTTTTTTTTTTCAAACCTTGAGTTTATACCATGATATACTGTTCTTAATGTTTTCTACAAGCTTAATAACTAATTGTTACTTCTCATCATTGCCACTGTACTCAATACTTCACCATATACACACACTGAAGGTGCAATACTAATGAACACTGTGATGGCTGACTTTCTTCAGGTATTTCCCACGGCCATCCCTTCACACATGCTACTTCCTCTTTGTACGACCTTCCTCACCTGTCCACCCAGCAAATGCTTATTTATTGTCCCAAACTCTGTCAGCCATGGTCATCTCTATGAAGACTTCCCTAAGTAGCTCCCAACAGACTCCATCTCCCTTTCCTCGCTACTATTTCTGTACTTATGTATGCATTCTCTTTTTGCATTGACATAAAGATTTGTTAACATGTCAGTCATTTCTATACTGTAAATGTGTTGAAGGGGCTGGCACCGTGGCTCACTTGGTTAATCCTCCGCTTGTGGCATTGGCATCCCATATGAGCGCTGGTTCTAGTCCCGGTTGCTCCTCTTCTAGTCTAGCTCTCTGCTATGGCCCGGGAAGGCAGTGGAGGATGGCCCAAGTACTTGTGCCCCTGCACCCGCATGGAGACCAGGAAGAAGCACCTGGCTCCTGGCTTTGGATTGGCGCAGTTCTGAACCGTAGCGGCCACTTGGGGAGTGAACCAACGGATGGGAAGACCTTTCTCTCTGTCTCTCTCTCACTGTCTATAACTCTACCTGTCAAATAAATTAAAAAAATGTATTTAGGATAGAAACACTCTTCATTTTGCTAATGACCAGCAAAAGCCTGGCATGTAGATATTTATTAAATATTTGCTGTGCTGAACTGAAAAGCTGTTCCTTCTGATGGAGCTTATGGAATTTTCACAGAAATGTGTGTACATTTGCTTTGCAATCATCTCACAATTACAAAAATTCTATGCAGTTGGCAACCTAACATTTATTTTCAAAAATTTCTGTTGCTCACCTCTCTCCTGACTTTGTGCCAATATCTTAGCTTTGATGGACTTGTCCTAAATTGCATTATTTTTTACTTGTTTATGTGACTGAAGTCCCTCCTATAAATAAACTCCAGGAGATCATGCCAGGCTGCCTCTAACATTAGCCTTGGTGCTCAGCAAGTACTTGTTAAATGCATAGATTTAGCACTAAATGAGAGTTGGTAAACAGAATTAAATCTCTGGTTCTTCTCTTTCTATTAGGACTTGCTCTGTGATTATCTTAAATGAACAAAATCTACTAAATTCTACATGGTTTTGTTCTTGAATCAGGCTAACAGCCATGGGTATGACAAATTAGTGGAATGAGTAAGAAAGGAAGATGATTTGATGTACAAATACTTTCACTTCGTTTAAGTTTACACTGAAAGAAGTCTTTTCTAGTTTTCAAATGTGAAATGATGGATTGGGTCAGAGATTACGAAAATAATTGAATTTGTCAAATACTTCACTGAAGTTCAAAAGTTTTGAGTATCTTCTCTCCTCTTTTAAAATGAAATTAATCCCCTAATTTCCCTTCAGCTAATTACAGGCAATAAGATGGAGTCATTTGATGTTTGTGATTTTTTTGGGTAACATGAAGTTGTAGATGCCTGCTAGATTTTATCAAATGAACAGCAGCATTGGACACTCTCTCACCCCCGTAGAAAATTATGCATACCTCATAATATTTTACAACAGTAGTGTTTGCAGAATGTGGTTTTGAAATAATCTCAACTTTGAAGGAAATTGATCATCTGTTATCCACATTATTATTCACCAGTGGGTGGCAGTGACAAATATACAAGTAAGGGCGCCTTGACAAAAAGTTATTTTATAATGAAACTATATAGTAAGTGGTAATCCAGCATTGGTGATTTTCAAAATTGAAAATGTCAGAAGAAGACCTCAGTTTTATGTTGTTTCTCCATCCACAAACCACTTGAAAACTCATAGGTGAACACTCATAGATGAACATGTAGTAAAAATGGCAGAATTTTCCCCCTCAAATAACTCTCTAATTTGTGTATCTACTAGGACTCATTGACTTTAGAAAGTCAACACTGCAAATTAAAACAATGTTGGAAAAATATGAAAATGGTGATAGATTATATTTCTCTGGAAATAGAGCTACTATTTTATGATATTCTTTTGAACTTTAAAAAGTTACTAAATTCTTGAATCAGCATTTAATTTCTTCTTTTTCAGACAAGGAAATTAATGTTATGAGATTCACCCAAGGTCATGGGCCAGGTTAGGGAATTTAAAATAAGACTGTGAAACTGGAGTTCACTACTTTCTCCTCTACTCTGTGCACTTTTCATATTTTATATTTCCCTACCCTTCAAAATTTGCTTCTGTGATTCCATGTGAAATTAATTCACTTATAATTTAGATAGACATTCATATAATTGTATATGAAAATTAATTTGTAAGGACTATAATAAAAGCCCCACATACTGAAACTCTATATAGGACATGGAAAGACTAATGCCATTTTAAAATTTTCCCTATGAAAATTTAAAAATGAGCATGCATTTTTAAATGCAGGGGCATGAATATTTAAATATCTAACCTGGGCAGTCTAGCATGAGAATATTACAAGATTAATATAGAGTTTAAAAAAATGAATCACTGCATATAAGTTAGAAGTGTGAAATGTTAATTGCATCCCTTAGAAGGAAGTCTGGACATAAATTAGAAAAGTGTCAATCCCAAGAGTCCTTTGAATCCAGTAAAAAGGAGTGAAATGAGCCCAAATGATAGTCACTGTTGTTTCCAAGTTACTTCAACTTGATAATCTTAAAGTTGGTGGTGGTGGGGAATAATCTGTGGTCTTCCTAAAGAGAAGTGGCGGATTACCTGCTACACCATAATGTCTACTCCTTGAAATAGTGTGTAGAGAAAAGATATTCCAAAAATTACCCCGTAGGCTCACCTGTTTCCATTTTTCCATCCTGTGCAGCAGGCCCGTCTGGAATCACACTTTTCACCTGCAGAAACTCATCAGGCTCATCACCGCCAATGATGGTAAATCCAAACCCCATGTTGCTCTTTTTTAGGGTGGTGCTCAGGAATGTTCCCTTCAACTGGGAGGCATCCCGGGTGAAGAGTGGCTTTTCTACATTGGCCAATATAAGTTAAAAAAGAAAAAAAACCATGTTCAAGGTAAGTTCCTAGATAAGAGAAAGCCAGCCACAGAGCAGCAAGCCCAGGGGTTAGGGGTGAGGTCTTACATAGTAATGCCAGCAGGCAGTGACTACAGGAGTGACCGTTAGAACATCCTACAAGTGACAGAAGTCCCAGGCATCCGGGGAAAGAAGAAGCTCTTTGCTTTGGAGAAGGACTTTTTGTCAGGTCAATGTTTCCAATCACAAATTACTCTTGTACTTAAATTGGGCGGAATCAACAACAAGCCAGAGTTTCCAGATAGAGACAAGGGGTCGAAGCACCCAGACACAGCTGGATGGGCTCCTCGGTTCTGAAATACTCTGGGTTAGCAGTGGGTGGGAGTGGCCATCCTGCACCAGGCCTCAGCGGGATAGGGGTAGAACATGGAGACGGACCGTTTGTTGTTGTATTATTCTAAGGTGAATAACAGCACAACATTTCAGCAGGTGCAGATATCAAAAAAAAGAGAAGCAATGGAAAGTGACTAGATAGTCAAAGGCCCCAACTGTTTGGAAAGAGTACCTGGGACTGAGTTAACGTTTGCTTATACCGCTTTATCATAAATGTGAGATGCTATCACCAGACAAATAAATTTCTACTAGCCACATAGTGTTTAGTGTACTCTAAAATGTGAGGAAAAGGCAAATCACTAGCAGATAATGACTATGAATGTAAAGGTAACACAGTTTGTAACAATATGTTGACACATTCTGGTCATATGCCTAAATAATTCAAATAGAACTCTACCCTGACTCTAAGAGTCTGCTCACAAATTTGTTATAAACTGTTATATACTATGATTTTCCACATATGATCTAAGCATATTAAATGCTTTAAATGTAATAATCATACCTTAAAACAGATTTAGTATCCACCTTAGAATTCCATCCAGATAAGATGAAAATTATTTTAGTTGCTATATTCTGGGTTATACAAGCTGATATTTGTAAGAGCCAAACTGTACTTGGTGACTCAGGTATTCTGTATGATACTTTTATTGTTACATTTTGGGTGATAGGTAATAAACAAACTATAAAATAATGAGTCATTATATCAGAGTTTTTGATATATCTGTCTACTTACACATTACATATAGCTTTATTAAAAAGAGGGAGCTTTTAGAAAATCAGATGAAGAAAACACTTAGGATCTGTTCTCCAATGCATCCCTCATGCTAGTAATGACTGCAACTGAAGAGCAGCTCACTGGGAGACCTTTACATTCATTGAATTGTGCTGTAGTGGGCAGGCGTGAATACTGTCAGCAAGCAGGCCTAGGCCTCCCAGATTCAAAGCCTTTTGTGTGGCTTCATTCACTAGTAAAAGCCCATTAGATGTGAGCATCTGTGTGGTGAGTCCTCCCACTATGTGACCCCCAGGTGTGGGCAGGTGCAGCAAGCAGCCCTGAGACATACCAAAGGGCCAGGGTCTCCCTGCAGGGTAGCGACGAAAGGAGGACAAGTCATTCACACTGCGAGACCTCTCCCGGGCAGCATGTGGGCGGATGGATTTGGGCCTAGGTAATGTCGATGAGGAGCTGTCTACTGTCACAAAGGAGAATAAGCCTCATTCTTGTGCTTGGTCTTTCAAGGGCAAACTTATGAAATCTTTGCAGCATACAGTCCCACTGTCAGAACTCATTCATCTCTCCCTGGCAGTATGCTGTAAATTCTTATAAGGTACGGCCAGGCTTTAACTCAATCTGTGGTTGCTAAATGCATTAGTTTACCAACAACACCGGCACCCAGCTCAAGCTGGTCGAAGGACTAGGGGAATGCAAATCAATGACTTGAAATGGTTCACACTACAGGCATACTTGGATGAGCAGACAGTTGGACAGACAGCGTTCCCCCCCAAACAGTGCATGCACACAGCGTAACGTACCTCGGAAACCTGGGGCCTGCAGAGGCTTTGGTCCAAGTTCTGTGTGGGGCATGTTATGCTGCTGCTGTAGCTTCCTTTTTGCTTCCAGGACAGGGTTTTCAAACTGTGTCCTTCTATTTATGTGGCTACAAAAGAGAATTTCACATTAGGATAGCAGTGGGGGCAAAGTCATTTTAGAGAACATATAGGTATGGCTGAGCAGAGAGCAGGTGGTTAAGGGACACCTTATCTGATTACAGTCAAGTGCCTCAACCCAGCATGCACTCGGGCTTTGGATGATTTGGCATATGTACTCTACACACTTCTGTGACACACACAGAGTTCTCCAAGGCTCCATCCTATGTTATTGTATTTGCACTATGCATAGTTCTGTCAAAACCATAGGGAAGTACATCGCTTTCTGGTCTTGAAATGAGTTTGATGCAATAAAATAAATGGTCAACAAATGAAATTAATACTCGTCTTTTTTGAAGAAAAAAATGTCATCTGAGCCTTGTGAAGTCCCTAATGCACCAGAACAAATGTGAGATACAGTCACTGGTAACAGTAGAATGACCAGAGTCCACACAAGAGTTAGCCCTGGATTGAAGGGCTGGGATCCAGAGGAAGATCCCCAGGATATTCACGCAAGTCTTAGAATAGCTAGTGAGGGCAGTTGGTGGTCAAAGCCATGGAGAGTAAGAGTAGTCACATTCTATGTGGTGAGAAGGCAAACTCATAGATATGAGACACAGTGGCTTCAAGCAACTGTGGCCCAGCTAAACTGAGAGTTTGCAGCATCTGAACACTATGTGTTCCTAAATATCAGACTGTTGGAAATTCAGTTTCTTGTCCATGGGGAGAGTAGAAATTGCCCACTGATGGTGCCTTGTTGCTACTTTTTCTAGGATCTAAGTGCTCGAAGAGAGGACTGGCTTATATATTGATTTGAGTTCTTTGTGGGAACACAGACAGGATGATAGTGAAAGAATGAAGAGCAGAGAGGGCTTAGAAGAGGAATGGAAGTCATTCATTTAATTACTGAGTATGTGCCTTCTAACAACATAGTCTTGAATTCTAATTATCTCCATTTTACAGACAATGAGGTTGAATAAATCACATGCCTAATAAACAGAAACTCTGGGAGTTGACAAATCTATTTGAATCTCTTTTATCTGTGCGCTATTCTCTTTGCAATGGTTTCACGTTGGCAAGTGCACACCCACACATACACATCCCCACAAACCACTCATTATGTCTTCTATAAGCACATATCAGAAAGGAAAGGAGATAAAAGCAGAAAAATCTCGAGGACCAATTTTTGATTATTATGAATCAGATAATTCCTGGTGAGACAGAAATGGTTGCTTCGAATGTTCTGATGTGATAAGGTGACTTAGATAAGTATCTAAGTCTTTCCTCCTTGCAGGCAGGAGAGGGTAGCTGCCTACCACACAGCCTCCACAGTCAGTTAGGCCTGGGTTCAAATTCCAGCTCTTCCACCTGATGAGCTGTTGGACTCCTGGCAGAAAATTAGACTCATGTGTTAGGATCTTAGTCTGCAATATGGGCATAATATTGCCTTCTTCTTGGGATGGATATAGGGATTAAACAAAATAATGAATATTAGCAAAGACAAGCTCAATAGTAGCAGCCAGGAGCCAATAAATTCATCTGAGTCTCCCATGACGATGCAGGGGCCCAAGAACTTGAGGCCATCTTTCTCTTCCTTCCAGGCACATTAGCAAGCAGGTGGATTGGAAATGGAGCAGCCAGGACTCAAATCAATGCCCTTGGCCAGCGCTGTGGCTCACTTGGCTAATCCTCCGCCTGCAGCGCCACCACCCTGGGTTCTAGTCCCGATTGGGGCACCGGATTCTGTCCCAGTTGCTCCTCTTCCAGTCCAGCTCTCTTCTGTGGCCCAGGAAGGCAGTGGAGGATGGCCCAAGTGCTTGGGTCCTGCACCTGCATGGGAAACCAGGAGGAAGCACCTGGCTCCTGGCTTCAGATCAGCACAGCGCGCCAGCCGTAGCAGCCATTTGGGGGGTAAACCAATGGAAGGAAGACCTTTTTCTCTGTCTCTCTGTCTAACTCTGCCTGTCAAAAAAAAAAAAAAAAAAATCAGTGCCCTTATAGGCTGCTGGCATTGCAGGCAGTGGTTTAACCTACTGTGCCATAACACCAGTCCCTTGGGCAATTTTCTAAACTCACCAAGCATCAACATCCTCATGTGTAAAATGGGGACATTAATATCTACTTCCCGGGGTTGCGGTAAGGATAGGAAAATGTTTGCACAGTTTCACAGGGAGAGCCCACAGCTGGAGACACAGTCATTACTACAGAAAGCAGGAATACTCTTCACAGTGTTTAAGATAAACTCAAGCCAGGAGTTAACAAGGACAGCATTTCAGTTACTAAGTCATCAGAAATATTTCTTTCCAGGGGTTGGGTAAAGAGATATTTGGAGTGCAGCATATGAATTTCCCAGGCTGTGCTAACACAGTGTGTGTGTGTGTGTGTGTGTGTGTGTGTGTGTGTGTGTTTTAAAGATTTATTTTATTCAAAAGTCAGAGAGAGAGAGAGAGAGAGGAGCAAGACAGAGAAGTCTTCCATCTGCTGGTTCACTCTACTAATGGCCACACCAGCTGGGCTGGGCCTGGCCAAAGCCAGGAGCCTGGAGCATTTTCTGGGTCTCCCATGCAGGTACAGGAGCCCAAGAACTTGGGTTTTCTTCAGCTCCTTTCCTAGGCCATTAGCAGGGAGCTGGATTGGAAGTGGAGCACCTGGGACTTGAACTGGTGGCCACAGCCACATGGGATGCTGGCACTGCAGGCAGTGGTTCAACCTGCTGTGTCATTGTGCCGGCCCCCAGTGTGTTTTATGATTGATTGATTTCCATGCCTATTACCTTCCCTAGATTGTGTTCTCCTAAATACAAGTCCCACATGTTGGTCATGTCTGCATGCTAAGCATGTAGCACAGGGAAAGACAATCACAGTTTGCTAAATAAGTAACGAGTGTGTTTTACTACTTTTGTTTTCAAATGTATGACGGGCATTTCAAGGAACCAAAAAACCAGATCTGAGATGCGTCAGCTTTTCTCAGTTCTATCTGTTCCATTTCTGTTCTTCTAGGTCATCATTTGCATTCCTTCATTTTAGAAAATACATTGTCATCACTCCCAGGGGTCTATTTGTACATTCATTAAGGTTCCTCTAACTTGCCCCCTGCATGTTATTATTTCCTTAGAAAAGTCAATGTGGGGGCTGGCGCTGCGGCTCAGTAGGCTAATCCTCCGCCTTGCGGTGCCGGCACACTGGGTTCTAGTCCCGGTCAGGGCGCCGGATTCTGTCCCGGTTGCTCCTCTTCCAGGCCAGCTCTCTGCTATGGCCCAGGAGTGCAGTGGAGGATGGCCCAAGTGCTTGGGCCCTGCACCCCATGGGAGACCAGGATAAGCACCTGGCTCCTGCCATCGGATCAGCGCGGTGCGCCAGCCATTGGAGGGTGAACTAACGGTAAAGGAAGACCTTTCTCTCTGTCTCTCTCTCTCACTGTCCACTCTGCCTGTCAAAATAAATAAATAAATAAATAAAAAAGTCAATGTGGGGACCAGTGTTGTTGTGCAGCAAGTTAAACCACACTTGGGACACTGGCTTTCCACACTGGGGCACCAGCTTGGGTTCCGGCTGCTCCACTTCTGATCCAGCTTCCTGCTGCACCTGAGAAGGCAGCAGATGATGGCCCAAGTGCATGAGCTCCTGCCACCCGGGTGGGAGACCTAGAAGGAGTTCTGGGCTTCTGACTTCAGCCTGGACCAGCCCCAGCCATTGTGCCATTTGGGAAACAAACCAGTGTATGGAAGATTCTCATATTTATTCTTTCTCTCTCATAAACCTTTTTATAAAAGAAGAGAAATCAATGTGTAGCTGCCTGCTCTATGGATGTTGCTGAAAACATCCTATCCACCAACAAAGTGAGTTTCTAGACTTCAGAGAATGAAAACACTAGTGAACAAGTTTGGCATGCCTGCTACCCCATAATAGCAGAAGCTGGGTAAAGCTTGTTCCCCCATGCTATCTGCTAAAGACACTAACATTTTTGCAAATGAAGTCATTCATTTAAAACCAAAAATGATCCCAGGCTGTAAAGTACTGATCACAAAGAAATGCAATTTCAGCTACTACAGGAGACTTGCCTCCCTCATGCTTCCACAGTGCGTAGTTTCAAGCCATTTTTGTTGGACTTGAGGGGCTTCTGTTGTGTCTCAAGGATGTGAATGACAAATGCCACATCCTCCTTGCCTGGGCTCCAGAGGTGGGTCCTAGCTATGTCATCTGGCTTCCATACAGAACAAGAGGCTGCCCAAATTTCTCACCCTTTAATCATATGCAGTTGACTATATTTTACAAGAGAATATTTAGATGATAAAAGCTAACGGGTTGAGAATCCTGAAGTGGGCACAGCCTAACCACTATGTTTTCCCTTCCCAGAAGGAGAAAAAAAGACAGTAGACACTCTCACGTGGGAGTGGCAAAGGGGCTAAGGAGGTCAAGAATGAGGACCCACCCCCTTCTCTGTCTGCCCTTTCATTCACACATCCACAGCCTCCACCCTTCCTTCACCATGGGATGGAAACATAAAATAACTTCATATGTAGCTGTGCTTTGAAATTCTGAACACACCTGGGAGGCTTAAACAACACCCCCCTACACACACACACACACACACACAATCCCAGAAGACTCATCCCCAAGTCAGCTGACTGATGATCTGAGAGTGGGGTCCAGGGATTGGGTAATTCTAATGTACAGCCAGGGTTGCAGTCTCCTGAACTAGAGGCTGAGAAGACATGGAGAGGAATCATGTGGAAGCGCCTTGCCTGGTAAGATTTCCACACAGGTCTCTTTTTCTGGACATGGTCTTGGGGAATACCAGGAAATGCTCTTTTGCTCCCCTAAAGGACTTCTACCTTCAGAAGTTTCAGATGCATACAGGGCCTAGGAAGTTTGTGCTGTAGAATAGGTGGCACACCACCAAAGGTGGTCCCAGGTGAGGATCCTGTTTGCCACTCCCTTTCCCATAGGGAGGAGTGAGGAAATGTCTGCTGCAGGTTATCAAGGCCTTCATCTGATCCTCACCTCTGGTG